AAACGGACAACTCCTACACCACCCTTTTTGCATCACGAACTTCGTCATCCAACACCAACTGTCGACCACCAAGTCCAACGACCCAGTATGACTTCTGGTGCACAACAGCCACCACCTTCTCCACACCCGTTGCCTTCACTACCACCACATCTCCCGGGACAAATCGACCATCCCTCCCACGCTGGCGAGTAATGGAGACCACAGAATCCGTAGCAAACGTCTCATCATATCCACCGTCCAACAGCGACTCACATCTGCAATATACACCTTGTCAACATCTCCATCTCCAAAAAATACAACCTCACACTCACCTATCAAATGGGTTCGCCTTAATACCCTTTCCCCCGAACTCCACCTTTCCAACGGCGTCAAATAGACAAGGACGATAACATTGACGGACAAAATGCCTGTGGTTCGAATTTGGCGGCTTGCCCTCCACCGCCGTCCCATCATCCTTCCACATGGGTCCCTCTCCAGGACACAGCAAAGTTTCCTTTAACGGATCACCCGCCGTTATTGTCACCGCAAACGAGATCGCCGCCGCATGATCCCTCGCAAACCATATAAAGGCACGAGGATTGATATGCCCAAATGATGAAAACGACGAATATGACACCTTCACGTATCTCGTCAGATAGCTCAATGGGGTAGGCAAGGCCCACCAGCCCGGACACGTATCCGTCCTTCCGATAACACCGCCAACGTCATTTTCCAACATCTTCGCCAACACCCTCTGACACATATTTGCTGCTTCCAACCTGGACTCCATTGACACAGCAGATCCATCCTCCTCCATTAAGGGAAACACTGGGTTCCCATACCGATCCCGTCGAAATTTTGTTTTGCCTCCTTCCCACTTCCCTGGAGGAGAAGCGCCCAGCGCAAAGACCGGACACTTAAAAACCTCTGCCAGCTTTGCAAAGTACACCCTCATCGCAGCATACAACTCCGTCATCGTCGCATATTTTGCCCCAGACCTCAGGTTACACATATGCTTAATATCATTCGTTCCCACACGAACACACAGCTGCGTAAATTGGAAGTCATCGTGCAGGCGCAAATCTCGGTACACTCGACGACGCACATCCTCCGGCGTCCACTGACTTTTCGAAGACCCAACCACAGCAGTTAATCCACTTACACCGTACTGCAAGCACAAAATTCATCAGTCAACAATATCCAACAAGCTTCCCTTTTCCAACCAACCTGATACACCTCATAAGGCATCCCCTCAGTCAAATGCCGAAAATCATAAGCTGGTGGAACGTCCTCCAATGCCCCAACTCTTGTCAGAAACGCCTTATCTGGATCACACAGAAACCAGACAGCCACCAGTGACGTCCCAAAAACCAAGACCTTCTCCTTGCCATCATCTCCCATCCGTTTTTCACCTCCGACTCCGTAATAGTCATTGATATACTGGACACTCTGCACTGCAGTCCCTGGCACAGGCAACCGCATACTCCGAACACGGCGGAAGTTCCTCTCCGAGATTCCCATGCGCACACATATGTTCTTGACATACTCCGCCTTGTCCTCAGGCTTGAAAACCCAATCTCCAACAGCACCTTCACAACACAAACACATTGTACAAACCACCTTTCCTCACACACACTTCAAACCAACCTCCAAAAAACAGATCCGCCATCGTCCTCCTTGAACTCCTGGACGAAAACACTGAGGACCCTCCATCATCTTCCTCAAATTCCATCTCTGAAGACACAACCGATGGCCGTAGAACACACCCCATCAAAGGACTAGCCATTACTGCATCCAGAACAACCTTCAACGCTTGCTGCGACTCGCCCTCCTGTCTTCTCCTTTCCTGCACAGATCTCCCGCCAGCCATCACCTTCACCTCGTCCATCCATACTTCCATCATATCAGGATCCGGACCAACAACAATCTGCACGCCATCGCCTCCACGAACACAATAAATTTTCACCAATCCTACACATACAACTCAATCTCAAACAAACAACCAAAACAACAATCCTCAAAGACAAACGAACCTTCTTCCTTGCACGTCACCACCGAGTTTGGCAGCAACAAGGGGAATTTACCACCAATCGAGCTCTTCAAGGCCGCCACACTTGCAGCGACCGCCGTTGAAAAGGCCTCCTTGGCCTGAGCCGTAGCCGCCGTTGCCATCGTCCCTGCACTTTCCAGAAACGCCCGATCCTGCTTCATCTTCTCCTCCACAGCAGCACGACGCCTCTCCAACCCAGCAGCTTCATCTTCCATTCGCTGGTTGTCAATCCTCAGCTCCTCCACCCGCTTTTGATTTGCAGACAGTGATTGCTCCAGCCCAGCTCGCACGGCATCAGTACAAGCCTGAGTATCCACTACCGGCACCAATGTATGAATCCGAGCCCAGCGATCCGCGTCGAACCTCGAAAACGTTTCAGCAAGCTCCCGCACAGCTCCTGGAAACTGCACCACCCCGTCAGCTCCGACACGACGAGCCAACTTTGGCGTCGACGGCCCAGGCACGGCCTCCAACCTCCTCACCACCGGCGACAATGGCAGGCTGAAAACACTCGATGGCGAACTCCGCCCATCATCCTCCAACTCTGCCATCTCTGAAAATGACAAAAAATAACATGCGTCAAGGAGGATCATTAATAAACTGTTCCTTCCAAAATACCTCGATCAATTGAATCCTTTCGTTCACTCATCGTTTTACTTCCTACTCCCCACAGACGAAAATCCGCACAACCTGGGAATCAAATAAAGAAAATACCTGCAATTACTGCTGTTCAAACAACCTGGAACCTGCAACTATCGAATCCTTTCGTTCACTCATCGTTTTACTTCCTACTCCCCACAGACGAAAATCCGCACAACCTGGGAATCAAACAAAGAAAATACCTGCAATTACTGCTGTTCAAACAACCTGGAACCTGCAACATCCAACATCTACAATTACTGCTGATCAACAACTCCTAATTTGCTATTACTAATTACTGCTGCTTCCACCACTAGCACCCCCATTACAGGGTCGCTCTATTACAAACTCTGGTACCCCCATTACAGGGTCACCAATATACGCTGCACCCCCATTACAGGGTAGCATGTCGTTACAAATTACCAAAAAAGTACCCCCATTACAGGGTCACAAATCAAAACGACGATCACAAAACCGCCGCAACCGCCGGACAAAACACATCACTGGCACCCCCAATACAGGGTCGCCCCTACATCGCACCCCCATTACAGGGTCGCGGACACACAGTTGTCTTTCCTGCAAAACACCAGAATGAAAAACATCATCAACCTCTCGAGACCACACTGAACAAAAAGCACACAATGGGAAACTCCAACAGTCAATTTATACCTACGAAATTCACGACAACCGCCAACAACTTTCTCCCCAATCCACCTAACCAAAATCCGCAAAGCAGCTTAAAACACAAAACTCCAAAAACATCACCAAACCTGAAATCCCACAAAAACCCTAATCCCTCACTTTCTACTTTCTCCACAAAACCGGGAACCGCACAAACCGGCATCTTGGAATACAATGGACTCCCAACAAGCCTCCGTCATGGCGGCCGAACCGGTCCCTGACTGTGGGCTTGACCGTCCCGCCATCTATCCGATCAAGCCCAGGGGGGTTTTATCAGGGACCCCTAGAGGTCGCCCGATAGAACCCACACACCTTTGCCACACAACAAGCCACGAACACCGAAATCGAATATCTAAAAACACACCTAGCCAACACTCCAAACAAGTCTTCCAAAAATAAAACCGGATCCTTCTTCCTGAAGCCAAGATGAAATCCGCGGAAGAAACTTCACTTCATCTCGAACGCCGGCTGCGAGAACTTCATTTTCGTGCTTGATTTGTGAAACCTGTGAAATTATCAATTTGTTAACAAGTGCGAAATAACATCGTTCCTGGAGACTCAGTCTCGGCCGCAAACGGCCTATCACGCATTTCTTTCATTTCATTGAAAGTTTATTTCGTCATTGACCTAAGGGTCTCTGACAGTGTTCAGCTTAAAGACATTTGCACGGGTTTTCATTATTCAAGCCAAAGCTCTGTAAAAAATATCAAATTTTTCTGCAGCAAAATTAAACTATACTTTGAAACTGATTGCAGAGGACTTGGCCTTGTAATTTTTCAAAAGAAAATTTTAGCTGATTTTCAATGCTTGAGTCCAGGATATTTAGCATGAAGAATGGTTCACATTATTGAAGTTGTTGCAAACCACCATAAGTTGAGGTAAAAACTTGAAATTTATCTTGAAAGAAGGATCAAATTTATTTTGTTAAACTTTGAACTTAATGCAGCAAACATACATTGTGATGGGAAAATTTTTTGTTTGTTGTCTACAAACCCCAGTTTATCTATTATTCTTTCAATTGAGGAGTCTTGAAAATCAAAAATGCAGTGCTGAAACATTTTCAGAATGAAGCTATTTTTGCTGATTTGGAATTCTAAAGAAAATTCAGGAGGCAAAAGGGGTGAAAAAAAATTTTATCTTCATGGACAAAAAGTTCTTTCCACTCCATATACACAAATTTTTCCTTGTCCAATATGTTTCTTTATGCATGCATAGTGGTTCTCCATGGTGAAATTCTCTCCATACAATAACCTTTTTCTGGTTCTTAGAATTTTATTGTAGACAAGAGAGTCCACCTAAATACAGATGGTACCTTAATATTAAACCCTAATCCATTGCTAGACTTGGGTCAAATTTCAAGACACTGTGAAATTCAGAAATATATCAGTACAAAAGTGCAAAAAAAAATTGGCCGAAGCAGGTTGAATTGTGGGGCAAGGGTCAAATTGATGGGCAGTCCAATTGTGGGAGGTTTAATTCCAATGTACCAGCTGTATATAAAAATATCATCATGAATAATTGATTCTAGTACATGAATTCTCTTAATGAAATTATTTATTTTACCATATTTTTCTGTGTGCAAATTTATTTATTTATTTCTTGGTTCTAGCAGAATCTCAGGAACCAAGGCCTATGAAAATTGAGGATTCTTTTGTAAGAATTACATTTCATTTGAGAGTTTCATGCACCATGTACCTGAACAAAACATTTATTGTTATGATCAAACTCTCCTGACTGCATTCCTTAAGATGTTTTATTCTTCCTCATCCTACCTCTTCCCATTGAAATTTGTTTGCAAAAGAGGAAGCCATTTTAGAATGAAAAGTACTTCCAGTACTTCACAGACATCCTGTCATCCCCATAAAGAAGACAATTCGAATTGTGACACAATATTCAGAAAGTAGCTGTGGAGAAGGGTTTGCTGATTAGTCTGTCAGCAGGCTTTTTATCTTCAATGTCAAAAAATCATGTTTGCTGCTCAACGAAGTACTCTTTCAACAAATGTTGACAATTCTTGGGACATCTATTATTGCAGAAATTAGTTTTTATTTATTTATCTGCCTTGAATTATTATGCTGGTGTTCGTGAGACCAAATTCCAACTTTAGCATCAATATGCTGTTTCAAAATGCAGACCTTCAATGGAACAGAAAGGAAACTTGATTCAAATATTAGTGATATACTTCAATTGACTATAAGACGGAAGTTGAGAAAATTCTGAACATAGATACGTTTTTTTGAAGAAAACTGGTACATGCGCCGTTTTTTTTACTGATTTTGAAATTGCCATTATTGAAATGCTCTTTATACAAATATTCAGCTTTTTCAAGTTACCTAGAACAGGGTTACTCACTTTTCACTCTTTAGAAAATAATGTTGTCATTGCATGTATTTTTTTTGGGCTCTGTGGAAAAGAAACAACTCAAACCGACTTCGTATATATAGTCACAGAGCACAAGCTGATTGAGAGAAATTTTGCTCAATCAAACTGTTTATTTTTGAAAGGGTTGGTACTTACTTTGTGAATGTACTACGTCAAGTACCGTTTTGGGTGATGGTTCAGTAACTCGAGAAAAAAGTACATGAAACACGAATCACTATCGTCGAACAATGTGGCGATTAATTGGATTCTCTGAATCTCCGTGCCTAAAAAAAGGTACAGTACTGTATTTTAATTTTGTTTTAAATTGCAAGAAAAAGTTCTGGATTTCAAAACTATTTGAGAGGTCAGGGTTCAAAAGCGGGATTTCAAGATTTATGATATATACATACATTCCAAAGCTTTTTTCGCCTGAAAAATAGTCAAATGAGTTTCCCAAAAAGAGTGGAAAAGTATGTCTTGAAACTCAAGTATCGCAACAAAATTTCCGAAATTTAAATTTGTTGTAGTACTTACGCTCATTTAAAAAAATAAATAAAAGAAATGAGCTAAGATGGGAATTTTTTTTTAAATTCCTGAGATTTTCTTGTAATCAAATTATTTAAAAGCTGCTTTTAAACTTGAAGAACCATCAGATTCAGTTTCGCAGAGTTTAAAATCCAAATACTTTCATTGGATGAATTGAAATACAGAATTTTTTTCGGATCTTGAAATGTTCCAGGAATCTATAGTCGGAATTCTTGAAAAATTGAGCCACATATCTTAATTATTTTTGGAATAATAGCCTCTAAAATTTTGCGAAAGAATATTTTCCACTGAGAAATACTCGGCTTTCTGATTTGGTGATTCTGGATAGTTTGAAGACTTTAAGCTACTTGAATTTCAAAACATAAATGAAGAGATTTCTAGCTTCCAAATCGTCACGACTTATTCTTTGAGAAAAAAATCTGACCTTGCCAGAGGAAAATCTGAAAAGCCTCCCTCTGATTTTGAAGGTAACATTAAATGGAAGTTAATTCTTTGATTATCTTTTTCGAGAGGATTAAATTTATCAGGCATTTATTTTCTTCTAAAATTTTCACGATTCATTAAATTTCGTACTTCAAAAAACGTTCGAATAAGATTTAGAACAAAGTGCTCAATAAATCCAGGTGGAAAATTCAGAGAATGTCTTATGCAACAATTAAGTTTCTATATATAGCAGCAGAAAATGTTATTCCGAAATCTGAAATTCCTGCGAAAAGTTGCTCCTTATATATGGATCAATTTGAGCAGAAAATTCGGAAATTCTGCAGACATTATATTCCTCTCAAAAATTATCTTTTTTATTCCCATCTCATGTATATAAAACTGGTACCGCTATAAGAATAAATAAAAATGACCAATTCTTCGTGGGCGCATTTTTTTGTTGATGTTGGGGGGGATTCATCTTCCTTATTTATTTTCTTTTCTCGTACGGGGTTCTTTTTTTTTTCTCTCTCGGGGTTCCCGTGTAACCCGGGTCCTGTTATTGTTTGTGGATGTTGCACCGGTCATGCGGAGGGGCGTCGTTCCGCGCGGGTATTTAAGGTCCAGCTTCAGCGCATTCTTTTCGCATTCCGTGCCGAGGTCCATTCCATCGCGGGTGTTTCATCTGCTGAAATCAAATTTAAAAAAAAATTTTGCTTGCTGCCCAGCACCACCTCAAAATCCCTGTTTCAATCGCAAGTATTTGTAAATTTTCTTCGTGGAAACATGGAGGTGAACAGTTTATTCGAGGGACTGATGACGCGATTTTGCACGAATTATTTGTGTTTAACATGCCAGTATATATATATATATATATATATATATATATATAGTGGATATCCGGAAAAGTTGAGTTATCTTTTTTAATCGTAGATTTTTTTTAGTACAGTATGTCATTCAAGGGACCTGAACGAATTCGTTGCAGAGAGAAAGAGATAGAGAGAATTTCGTTATATGGAGAATATAACAGCTATATAACATAGATCAAGAGAACCTTATATATTTGAGATAAACAAAAAAATTTTTATAAAGGGCAAATCGTTGTAGAAAAAAATTTTGTGTACCTTTATTTCGGATGAGGACAGAATAAATACTTTTTTCGTGTCGATTCAGCCACACAAAAAAGAGTGGAAGCTGTGCTTGAGCTAATTTTGAAAGGAAAGACAGCAAAGGTAAATATTTCTGTGAAAATTAAATCTCGAGATCTGTCACATACTATTTTTTTACTAAATCAACCTTGACAGAGTTTTTTTTCTTTTGCTGTTGAAGTATTTTTTTCGCAAAATACTCTTATCTGGATTTTTGAATGATCCGAGAGATATTTGAGCAATTTTTGTCAATGATGCGAAAGAGAATTTTTTTTTTAGTTTTGTGGAATAGAGGATAGGATTTTTTTTAAACGGCTGTAAACGGTTTCAAAATTGCAAGCTATTATCGAGCTAAAATTTTGGTGGTTCACGAAAAATGCTCTGGTGAAAAACTTGGGGTTAATTTGACTCGGTGATTACAATTTTGTGAGTCGAAAATGTTGGATCGAGTATACTGTACTGATGTCAGTGGATTTTTATTTGCATGTATAGATTATGTTTTTCTGGTGTCTGATGAATATTTGTGATCCATTTGTTTTCAGAAAGAAAGACTCACATTTTTTTCAACACTTTCTCGCGCATATCAAAAGTTTGAATTTTTTGTTTGAAGTTCGACGAGTCAAAAAACGAAACCGAAAATGATGAAATACGTCGCTGTTATTGGTGAGTTCCGTTTTTCTTTTCAATTATAAATATTTTTAGTGTATCGACATTTTTCATGCTTGAAATTTTTATTGCGTGACTTTTTTTCTCACGCAAGAAAGATAAAT